TAAATAATAAATAATAAATAATAAATAATAAATAATAAATAATAAATAATAAATAAATAATTTAACTGAATGGAATTTAGGATATCTCTTAGTCGTTCATCGGCTTTGCTTCTGTTGTAGCATTAAAGCGCTAATTGAATGTTAAATTCAGCAGGTCACCTGAACAAGTACATCGCGAGTAATTTTCAGAGAGTAATTTTGGAAGAGCACTCGGATGAATTTGCTCAGATTGATCGAAAGATTTGTAAAGTGCAGCTAAAGTCTTTATAGAGACTATGACTAAAGTTGAATAACATTAAAAATAAATAAATAAGCAATGGACACACTTCGAGCCGATAAGAATAATTTTGGTATTTATTTGGCTTTGCTCATCGTTCAAATAGCTGGTTGAGTCGGTGCAATTAGTTTATTGCTCGACTTTTAATTGAGATAACCCCACCTCAAAGCGAAGTTTCCAAAGGTAACAACTGCTCTTTTATCTATAACAAAAGCAACAAAATAAAAGGTGTACAATGGAGCTGATAACAAACGAAAATGAACTTTAAATTGATTTCTGTCCGCGCTGTCGCACTGACTGACGAAATGCCCTACACTGAGAGACAATTTCGCTTATGTTTATTGAATTTTTCTCATGCTCGACTCATGGACTCATCCTACACTCGGAGTTACTCGCATTGCGACTGCGATTGAGACTGGCCTCACTCGAACGCCCACTCGCGGCGCGTTTAAGCCAAGTCAGGCCATAAGCAGCAATGGCTGTAGTGTAGCGCACTCCAGTCCCGAGCACCGCCTCCCCTATTCCCGCCTCTCGAATGAAAAGCTCGCTACGGCGCGGAGCGTATCGTAAATATGTTTTACTCAATTGCACTCAGTCGAACGGCGCGCTTTGGTAATGAACGTAACAGATTCAGCTTGTCGCTGAGAACGCGTCCGCGACTCGCATTAGATCATTGACGGATACGGCTTCCGGCCCCGAAAAGAGTCACTGGCCAAAATTGTGATATTGTGATATAACATATATGTATATAGATATATATGTATATGTATCTGATCATAGCTGTGTATAGTGCGTGTCTATATGTATTTGCGGATCTCTAATTGCCGTGCACAGCTGAGAGAGCAGAAAACATGAAAATGACTGACATGTGGATAATTTTTATGATATTAGGCCTAATCGTGCTCGCTCTGCTGATACTGCTGTTCATGGCCGCGCGTTATCAGCGCGACTACTGGCGCTATCTGGACATACCGCACGAGAGGCCGAAGAAGCTCTGGCCCATCATCAAGCAGCTCGTCACGCAGTCCCTCAGCACCGACGACGAGAAGGTCGCCCACTATACGAGCATCTACAACAAGTTCAAGGGCAGCGGCCCGTTCTGCGGATTCTATGCGCTGCTGCAGCCGCGCGCTCTGGCCCTGGATCGCGAGCTGATACGGCAGATAATGATCAAGAATTTCTGGAATTTCAATGATCGCGGCATTTACTGCAATCAGAGGACGGATCCGCTGTCGGGCGATTTGTACGGCTTGCGGGGCAACAAGTGGAAGGAGATGCGCCAGAAGCTCGATCCGTGCTTCGAGCGGGACCGCATGGCCTGGCTGTATGCGAGCCTCTACGACGAGGCCGAGCAGCTGCTGCTGACTGTCAGCAGCACGCTGATGAAGCAGTCCCACTCGACCGTCCACATACAGAAGCTAATGCGGCGCTACGTGCTCTCGGCCCTGGCCAGCTGTGTGTTCGGTGTGAATGCCGAGCAGCGGGAGAAGTACTCGCTGGACGAGTTTGAGCAGATGACGGAGCTGGCGCTGAGCACGCGAAAGCACGGCTATCTGATGAATCTGCTGATGATACGCTTTCCCAACTTCTGTCGCAAGCTGCGGCTGCGTCAAACGCCCAAGCCGGCCGAGGACTACTTTCTGAGCCTGCTCGAGGACATTGTGGCGCAGCGCGAGGCGTCGGGTGAGCGGCGCCAGGACTATCTGCAGCTGCTGCTGGATATTAAGGCCGTGGAGCTGACCACGCACGAGTACGAGGCCGACAAGGAGCTGAAGGCGCATCTGCAGCACGAGCTGGCCGCCCACGCATTCGTGTTCCTCAAGGCCGGGTACGAGCAAACCGCCAACACCCTGTCCCTCGCTCTCTACGAGCTGGCGCTCAACCCGGAGGTGCAGCGCGAGCTGCGCCAGGAGCTGAAAGCGGTCATGGCCAAGCACCAGAACCAGCTCAGCTACGAGTGTGTGCAATCCCTGACGCTAATGGGCCACGTCATACTCGAGACGCTCCGCATGCATCCCATCACGCCGTACATAATGCGACGCTGCCTCAACGACTACACGGTGCCGGATCACATGAAGTACATGCTGGCCAAGGAGATATTCGTGATCATTCCGACGCACGCCATACACAACGATCCCGAGTATTACCCGGAGCCGGACCGATTCAAGCCCGAGCGCTGGGGCAGTCCGCGCGACTCCTTCAAGGAGCAGAGCACCTGGTTCGGCTTTGGCTCCGGAGTGCGGAACTGCATTGGCATGCAGTTCGCAGAGCTGCAGCTGCGCGTGGCACTCGCCCTGCTGCTACTGGAGTTCGAGTTCAGTTTGAACTCGAGACGACCTTTGGTCAGCCTGCAGGACGGCATCGCGCTGCAGCTGACGCCTCTGGGCGTGGTCGAGCCCGGGCTGGAGGAGCGTGCGGTATGAAATCGAGTGTAACTACGAATAATGAATTTAAAATGTGAATAAACTTGAATTGGACTTGGATAACTCTAAGTGAAGATCAAATGAAAAATAAGAGCATATTAACAGAAGCTTAACGATATTTAAATGTAAACAGTGGATATACTATATAATATTAAATAAATAAAATAGCTATATAAACAGTTAATGAATTTAGCAAATCAAATGATAATTATATCAAGAAAGGTTGTAGAGGTTTAATTTTAATGACAGTATCGAAATATGAAAATGTATTAAGGTATTCAGATAATTAGCTGGGACTTAAGCAATAAGACATTTGGAAAGTCAAATGATAAGTGCATAAATAAATACAAAAGAGAAGCAAAGAGTATTAACTAACGTTAAAATTTTAAGAATATTTTAGAGAATATTCAAAGAAATGACTTGAATATCAAATAAAAATTTGTAAATAAAAAAAAAATTTTTAAGGGTGAAAGTAAAGTAAAGTGCTAAATAATGCTAAAATATTTATAAAAAAAAAAAATATTATAAATGTATTTTTACATATTTACATCTTATAAATATGTATACAAAAAATTAAATTTACAAATTTAAAATTCACGGAAGAAGTAAAGAGAATAAAAATTAAAAAAAAATTAAATAAAAGAATATGAAATAAAAAAACATTTAAAATGAAGTACTTAAAATTTATATACATCGAAATTTATATTCACACAATTACCCAGAGCTAATGAAATCAAAATTGAATAAAAATGATTAGGAATAGTAACGATTCAAGTGAACTACAATAATTAATAATATAGGGCAAATTATATACATACATACAAATTAATTTTATATTTTTGTATTATGCTTATATACAAACCGCATTAAAAAATTTAATAAAAAATAATTTCAAACTTTAGTAAACTTGAGAATGTGAATATTCAAATAAATTATTAAATATTAAAAAAAAAAAACTCAATGCAAATAAGACATAATTCAAGCGATTGTATTCTAAAATAAAATGACAATTCGAATCACCCTTTCTATATACAAATCCGAATTCAAGTTAATATCCGTGA